ACTAAATTATGTAGCACATGGAAAATTTTGATGGCTGTACAGATATGCCATGCTATCAAGTACTGCCTCAATCTGAACTACGTAATTAGAGTGCTGAAATACATTTACTGATTATAGTTACATGTTTTAAATGTTAACTTAATGATGCCCTGCTCCTTATTCAATTACTGCTCCCATTAAGGTTACTGAGATTTCACTTGAATAAGGTCTACAAAATTGATCCCAAACTGAGTTTTATAGTAAGGTCGTAGCATAGGGAATGAAGTTTGTGTTGTCCATAGCTAAGTCAAATATGATAAAGTCTATAAAGGAGTCCAAGTAAAAGGTAAGGATGCGAACAGTTATGGCTTCACCATATCAAAATTACTCTTAAACAATCACCTATCCACAGACAGAATGGTACAAGCTAGCCAAAGTGGGATAGCTGATTTCCCCCAGGTATTTGGCAGCTCTCAACTGCACTAAAGCAGTGTACAGGTTCCTTTGCCAAATTCTCCTCAAAATCTGATCTGGTGGTAGAAAAGGATGGGTCAGGGAACACCCATGGTCTGCCAGTTCATAACTGGACTAAGGTTCCTGTTGGATCAAGGCTAGATGGCATATGTTAGGGCAGCCTGCCCAGAGTTATGGCTTAGACTGGGACTAAGACAGCCTAGTAATTGGAAGGCTCCCTGCTACCTACTACCCTCTCCACCCTGAAGTAGATCAGGACACACTCCATAAAGCAATAGTAGCATTCCCCTCCTCTCCTGCGTTTATTCCTACAACATCATCTGTACAGGCGACAGTGACCACTGCCTGCTAGAATTCACCATTCAGCATAAGGTGGCAAAGGTAAGCAGTCAGGTGGTGGCCCTAGATTTTAGGAGGGTGAACTTCAACGAGCTAAGGAAGATAGTTGGAGAAGCGCTAAAGTCTCAGAGGGGAGGGGAGCCGGGTGTCCAAGGGGAGTGGTCGCTCCGTAAGGAGACGATCCTCCAAGCCCAGAGGAAGGTAATCCCCA